TGGGCTCGGCTCGAACACCTTGTCCGGGGGTTCTTGCCAACCGCCCACGTTGTGCCGCATGTACATCATGGAGTCGAGCTGTGGCAAGTTACGTGCAATTTCTTGGGTCTGGCGGTCGATAATCGCCGTGCTCTGCTGGAGCATGCTGGATTCCAGCCGGGACGCGACCGTCCACAGGTCATTCAGCCGTAGTGTGCGGAATTCGGCGAGGTCCTGCAGCGAGTCGAGCAGCTCTGGTACGTAGTCGTGGTAGTAGCGTTCTTTCTGCTTGTTCGTGACGTTGATGGCGATGAGATACGAGTTCTTGACATTGTTCATTTCGGCGATTTGTTGTTGGTAGGCCGACTGTGCTTTGGCCTGGCCGAAGCCCGTCTCGGTCTTCTTGCGCTTGCTCTCGACCTCCTGACACACTGCGTCGTACTTGGTCTTGACCTTGCGTAGGTCGGCGTACGAGGCGTCGCGTTCCCGCTCGACCTTCTCGGCAAAGTCAGCGTGGCGTTTGCGCAGCTCCTCGAACCGCACACCAAGCGTCTGTAGCGGCGCGGCGACCTTGTTAATCAGATCGTTTCCGTACGTGTCGTGCTCGTCGGCTCGTGCTTCGAGTGTTGTGAGCTGCGTCGTCCAGGTCGTAAGAGACGCACTTTCGAGTGAGCCGGGCGTCATGGCTGGTGTTTCGCCGACGCTCAGCACCGACGACTTTCGTGTTTTCTTTTCAAAATACTTTTTGGCGAGAACCTTGAGCTTGGCACTGTAATCCTTCTCAATGGCGCTCCGCTCGCGGTAAAACTGCTGGATGTCGTCGAGCCATGCAATGCCGTTCGAGACCCAGGCGTTGGCAGGCTTAAAGCCATCCTGTCCGGTAGAAAAGGGATTAGCATTGAAAACGGCACCAAAAGAAGAACTGGCCACGCCGCAAGACGCATGTGCCGTCCAATCTGGTCGTCCGATCTGGTCATCCAATCGGTCCATCATACCTTCAGCTCAGCGCCGAACGTCGGCGGACTCTCCATGGTGGTGGGCGGGGATTGCTCCGGCGGCACACGTGAGGCTCGGAAGTCAGCGAGGCAGCTGGCTCGCACAACATTCAGAGGACGGTTGTCGTCAGTGTGCAAAGGTCTTTGCGACCGTCGAAATTCGTGGAACGCAAGATGCGAAGTCCGAGTGTGGTGTAGTCGTGACAGCAAAGAAGGGGACTGGGTGGAGGTAGAGTTGCCTTCCTTCGCCGCGCCGTCGTGTTCGCAGTCGTTTTCGGAGGAGTACATCGCCGAGTGCTCCATTGGGAAGGCGCAGTGCTCAATGCGATATTTCCAGTCAGCCATGGCGCGGGGAACATGCCCCCCCCCCCGGTGGTTGGTGGAAAGTTGGCTGTAATGCTGCCTGTATGTCAGTCATTAGTGGTCGTTAGTGGTCTTTTTAGCGGCCCGAGCAGCCTGGCCAGCCTCCACCCTCTTAACCCCTCGGTGTAGTGTCTCATACGACGTATGTTCCTTTCGTGTACCACGGCCCAAACAGGCAGACGGTATTCTGCCGCTCCCTACCGCCCCCACAAGCTCTTAACTGCTGCCTCGAAGCTCTCTGTATTGCACCCCACCTTTTTACCCTTGGTGTTTGTGCTGTCAATTTGCCTTTCTAGTCTTTGTTTTGCAACCTTTGTTTGGAGCACCGTCAACATCCCGCATTCGTACGCTTTTCTTCCTCTCCGCAAGCCTCGAGTGCCTTCTCAACAAGAAACTCTTGCGCACCTATTCCCCTTTGACGCTGGTACGTACCGTGTGCGCCGTGTATCGCTTTTGTTGGTCACCTATCCCCCATTTTGTCCTTCTCTCTTGCTTTCTTTTTCTTTCTGTCTTACCCTTTTTTTTTTTCTCTTTCTGTTTGTGACGACTTTCCCTCGTACTTGTATTGTTTTCTGATCTCTGCTGACAGCTGTCAGTTTTACGCAGCGGCGACGCCAATATCTGTATCGACACCTTCCTTTCACACATACCACAACATAATGGCGGACCTGGCAAGCCGCATTACCAGGCCGGACGGCGCCGCGGCAGACACGCCTGCTGCAGCCGCCCCGGTCGAGGATACTCCCGTCGACACCGCTGGTCCTGGCCTCATTGAGTCTACCTACGACGTCGAAGTCAAGCTCAGCGAACTGGGCTCGCTGACTGACAACCCGCTGTCGTCTGTCTCATCCTTTGAAGAGCTGGGCCTGAAAAAGTCCATTATCGACGGCCTGTTCGCCCTCAATTTCAAGAAACCGTCCAAGATTCAGGAACGTGCTCTGCCGCTTCTCCTCGCAGACCCGCCATGCAACATGATTGCACAGTCGCAATCGGGTACGGGCAAGACGGCCGCTTTTGTCGTTACATTACTTTCACGTGTTGATTTCAGCCAGCCGACGACGCCGCAAGCCCTGGCTCTGGCGCCTAGCCGTGAGCTCGCACGGCAGATAGAGTCGGTGATCAACCAGATTGGTCAGTTCTGCGAGGGCCTGAATGTGGCTGCTGCGATTCCTGGCGCTGTCGAACGCGGTGCCGCTGTGCAGGCCAATGTCGTCGTGGGCACGCCTGGTACCGTCATGGACCTCATGCGGCGCAAGCAGCTGGATGTGTCGCAGCTGAAGCTCCTTGTTATTGACGAGGCGGACAACATGCTTGACCAGCAGGGGCTCGGCGAGCAGTGCGTGCGCGTTCGCGAGAAACTTCCGCGTTCCATCCAGGTGTTGCTGTTCTCAGCCACTTTCCCCGAAAAAGTTATGCGCTATGCGGAGAAGTTTGCACCGAACGCCAACCAGATGCGCCTGCGCCAGCAGGAGCTGACTGTGCGGGGTATCTCACAGATGTACATGGACTGCCCCTCTGAGACGGAGAAGTACGATGTGCTGTGTAAGCTGTACGGCCTGATGACGATCGGCTCGTCGGTCATCTTTGTCAAGACGCGCCAGAGTGCCAACGAGATCCAGCAACGCATGGAAGCCGATGGCCACCGCATTGCTGCGCTGCATGGCGCGTACGAGGGCGAGAGCCGTGATACGCTGCTCAACGACTTCCGCACGGGCAAGTCCAAGGTGCTTATTACCACAAACGTGTTGGCGCGTGGCATTGACGTGTCGAGTGTGTCGATGGTGATTAACTACGACATCCCGATGAAGGGAATGGGCGACCGTGAGCCGGATGCTGAGACGTACCTGCATCGCATTGGCCGGACGGGTCGCTTCGGCCGTGTCGGCGTCAGTATCAGTTTCGTGCACGACCGGAAGAGCTTCACCGCGCTTGCGGACATTGCCAACCACTACGGCATTGACTTAATCCAGCTGAGTCCTGACGACTGGGAGGAAACAGAGAAGAAGATTCGCCACATCCTGAAGTCGGCTCGTGCCCAACCCGAGTACAAGCCCACATCTGCCGAAGCTGCTGCTTCCGCTGCGCAGGGACCTTAGTATATTTTGTTACATTTCTGCTGGGCTCCTTCTGAGACTGAACTCCTTTTTAACCAAAACAGGGCAGGGACTTTTATGACGTACCCATCCGGGTTCCTCATGTCGCGCTAGCTAATGTGCATCTGGCAAGGAAGCAATGTCCGATGGAGGTGACAGAGCCGGGCAAGCCAACGGCTGGAGGACATAACTGGCTGGAGAAATGAGAAAAGAACGGGGTAACTGAAGATGAGATAAAAGGAAATAGGAGGCACAAGGACGAGGATATGTTCAAAGATACCATGGTTTCAAGTCGGCCGACAACCAGGCTGAATGGGAATAGAAGGCCGACGATTATGATTTGCAAACTTGTAAATCATATAATCCAGACATTTCGCAGGAACGATATTGAGCTACGACAGTATTTGTTAGGTCGACAGCAACGATTCCGTTTTCCCATTACCTTGACGCTGATTAATGTAAGCAGCGATTGTGAGAGGAGGCGCTTCACCAGATGCAGGGAAGTTGATGTTGTTGACAAACTTTCTTTTCGCGCATCCAAAACGGGTAGTCTGGTACGTACCTGCGTCGAACCGCTGACGTGGGGTGCCGAAGAATTTTAGACGCCGGGCCTGCTTCCAAACAGAAATCAGGGGCTGTGGCCAAGCCTTCCCCAGCCCAATTAAAGCACGACCAGAAACGACACCTCATTTGTCGACCATCTCGAGGCGCGCAGATTCCCGCAATTTTGCTCCTGAGATGAAGGTTTTGATTTGGCCGCATCTGGCCTCACCGGACCTACGACAGCGTCTCGCCTGGCAACGACGGGCGGACAACAATCACAGGATGGTTGGCAGGCAGCGCAATCTCGGTATCGCATCAATGCAATCAGCGCCTGGGATAGCAGTAACCGTCCAAAACGACCAAAACGACCAAAGCGACCCAAAACGTTCCGCTATTTGAGTTGCGCCGCCCAATAAGCGACGTGTCCGTCTTGGGAGCCACGGTCTGCATGGCTGTCAGAGAGGGCGTACGACGACCACGAAGCCGTGACGTCGTGAAGCCTGAAGCCATGAATCCATGAAGCCATGGGACCAGTCAAGGCCGAGGACGCCGGCGGCTAGAAGAGCCCCTTCTTACTTCTGCAGTATGCGAAACGGTGACGGAAAACGGGGCCGATAGTCTTGTTTTGGGAACGAGATGAGGTTGGCAGCTTGCTGCATGCTTCACAGCCTTGGGCCATTGTGACCTTGGCCTGTTCAAGTCTGACATACCGGGTTGCCTCTTGTATCGCCACTTTCACCTCCAAGTCGAATCCCGTTTCACTCGGGGCCATTGAGGCCTTATCTTGCTTCCATCTCGACAGTTTACTTCTCTCTGCCTCCCTCTTCGACGACGATATTCATTTTGGAGCAACAAGGCGACTGTTTCCCCGAAACACGGCACGGCCTTCATTACACCTTGCCCGTCGCCTGCATCCGTACAGAGAGAATGCCATAAACGCCAGATACTTCCGCAGACAGATGCCAACCCAGGTACGCCTCTCCCGGGACTGGCGGAATTTTTGGTCGTATGGCCAGATCTTCACAAGATGCCATTTCTGTCTCGTGACACGACCACACAGGTGTTGTTTTTCTCGATCTTGTCCTTTGTGGTCCGGGCAAGGCCCGCCGCCGCCAATGTCATCGACCTACCGAGCGAGATTGTCGCCTTTGTCCCATCATGTGCATCAGCCTGCTTCTCGACGTTTGTCAACAACAATTTTCCATTGGGAATCTGCGGCAAGGACCCGACATTTCAATGTTTGTGTGAACACGCGGGGACTAACGGATTTACCGTGGGCGAGGGTGCGTTGGCCTGCATCGCGTCCGAGGACAGCACCGGACGCTGCACCGGCACCGAAGTCTCATGTGAGTTAGGATACGTTTTACTGGTCTTAGCCTTTAAACTTCCCCTAACATATGATATGCTTCAGTGACTGTCTCGAAGAAGGCATATTCTATGTGTTTTGGCCACAGCAGCGCGGCCCTAGAAACGCACGCAACCATCGTGGCCTCGCTGGTGATCCCGTCCCAGTCCACCAAAACTGTAACGACGACAGTCGTTGGAAATACGAAAGGGAGCACGAAAGGAAGCACCGCGAGTCACATGGCAACCCGAACTACCTCAAAGTCATCCGCCTCTGCATCAACTCGAACGCCGACCACATTGACGAGCAGTGCTACTCTGTCCACAGAGTCTCGCCTGTTAACTGCACCGCCCCGTTCAAGCACGGCCATCGTGGCCTCACCTCCTACAACAAGCAGTAAATCGGCATCGAACACATCATCCGCGCAAACAAGTGCGACATCAGACCAGACGCAGCGAAGTAATGGTATCAGAAGCCTGAGCGTTGCGCAGATTGTTGGTATCTCTGTCGGAACGGCCACTGCACTCTTTTTTGCCATTGCACTATCCATCTATCTACGCTTTCTTCGCCGACGTCGCTTAATGCTTGTTCCTAGATTGACTGGCGATGGCAATGAGGGTGGTGGCGGAGGAGGCGACGAAGAAGGACTTCAAAAACGGGTTCGGCCGAGAACGGGACACGAGCTCCAGATATCTGCTCCCGTGAACCTACAAGGACCGACGCACCCCTCGAACAGCACAGGTCCTTTGTGGCAAGAAAAGTACAAGACTAGCCGGACAGCGCCGCGGGATACGCAGAATAACCAGGACGCAGAGAACCGCCCGAATCCTCCACCCAAAAGCCCTCCTCGAATACTTTTAACAAGGCCAACTCTGGAGGGATCGGTCAATGATGCATCTAGGGTGCCAGTTGAGAGGTACAATCGAAATCTAACACCAAGGACGATCTACGGCCAAGTGAAAAATCTGCCACTCAAGGACATTCAGGATCCCGTTCAGACTACAAAAAATATATCCCCGACACAAAGCAGCGTTCCCCCATCCCTTCTCATACGTCCACCTCCACAAAGCATCGCCCCTGATAGACGTATGCTAGAGGAGCCGGTAGCCACTATATCCCGCCCTGTGCCATATCCATCATATTACGGAATCCCGCCGGACGAAGACCATCTGTACGGTGGCTATCCCCAACAGGCAAAATATACAGAGAAAACTTCACTATCGACGCGGCCCGTGGAGGCCCAGCCAGTTCAACCGGAACGCAACTTGCCTTCCATGTTTCAGCCACCATTGACAAGTCGGGACAGTATTGTGACGGAATTTGCCGAGGACGGTGAGGACAACCTCTCACCAAGAGCGACAGACGATGGACTATATCCATCTCGTCGATTCACTTCGAGGCAAGATTTGTCTCATACGCCACCCGACGCACAGCATGGTGGCTATTCTGCCCCAATAAGCACTTTTCAAGAACCTCAGCTGAGGCCTCAACCATCACGCCAGCCATTGCCGCAATTTCAAATACAGCCCCATCACCAACCTCAACTCCGACCTCAACCCCCACCCCAGACCCCATCGCCAAGGGCCCAAGGTGACGATCCGGCCCGCGGGGTCCAGCCGCCATATATGTCTCCGTCTCTCGTGCCTCGACCTCTCGATGTTGGAACACGCAATCCCGGAAGGAATACCGGAAGGTCTGGGCCAACCCTGGATATGCCGGTCGGAGCAGGCAGCAACGTCTCGCAGATGGCTAAAATGCGGCTGGGCGATGAGCGTGCACTTGGTCTACGGCTGGTGGGTGATGGACGGTCGCAGCGTCCACGGCAAAATGCCGGCTGGAGACGGATGGACGACAACTTTGGAGAGTATTAAATGGCAGCGGTTGTCCCAGACCTGTATTTTATCCCTTTGTCCTCATAAACTCTTTTGATATTTTCTTTTCTATTTTTGATCCTCTCTTTCTTCTCTCTTCGCACTACCGCACACTTCTTATGTACTTTAGTCTATTAGATATCGACATCTATCGTGGATGCCATAAATAATGTTTCCTACTCACTCTGCTTTCAGACCCTCTCCCTTTATGGCCAGTCGCAGCTATTTGCGAGTAGTGCTGCGAGCTTCTCGAGGTAGGCTTGGTCGACCTCGTCGAAACCGTTGAGCACGGCACAGTCAATATCGATGATGCCCACCAATTTTCGTGACTCGCTGCTGCCCACGACAATCGGCACCACAATCTCACTGCGGCTTTCGCTGTCGCAAGCGATATGGCCGGGAAATGCCTCGACGTCTTTAACCAGCACGGTCTTCTTCTCGGCGGCCGAGGTGCCGCAAACACCGCGACCCAGAGCGATGGTCTGGCAGGCGACCTTGCCGTGGAAGGGGCCCAGAATCAGCTCGTCCCGTTCCTTGCGTGCGGTATCGATCAGGTAGAAGCCTGACCAGTTGACCTGGTTACTGGGCTCACCTAAAGACTTGAATGCATGCCATAGCAGCGACGCAGTATTGGCCAAATTGCTGTGTCTCTGTCAGTAGATTTCGTGATGATAATTAGTGTTCAAGATACATGGTGATGCCTTACCAGACCTATTGGGATTAAACTGTCAGTCACACTGCGTCCTGTAAGAAAAGAAGAGGTTGAACCTACCCAGTTGCGTTGGCCGTCAAACAGGCCCTCGGCCTGAAGCAAGACCTGCTCATAGGCCTCCTCTTTGCTGAGGCCGTCGTCGAAGTTGGACGCGTCGGCGTGGTGCTGTTCGGTTAGTAAAGATACTGATACAACGGTCTTGGGATGCTGGGTGCTGATCCGTACCACCATCTTGAAATGCGTTTTTGTGTTGGGTTTGAAGATATCGTGACAAATCTGAATCGGCTTCACGCGGGTTAATGCGCAATTCGGTTGACAAAGTATTTGTAGGAATGGCGTGCCCATTAGTTCCCGCTGTCTCTCCACACCCACGCCTTTCGGAGCCCGCTAACAGCACCGACCTTAAGTGTCTCTGAGCCTGGCATGGCCAGGCCTTCGTCCTTCCAGCGCCTTCCCTGATTGATTCAAGCCCACATGAGACGCGACTTAGTGGAGGCTTTAGAGCTTCGGTAGCTACTGCTGACACTGTAAGATAACCTCTGCCTTAATAGCTATTGCCCCGAAACAAGAACGAAACTATGACGCAGGTGACGGCAGGTGGTCAAGGTCGTTCGAAACGAAAACACACCGAGGCAGCCGCCAGTTGGTTTCGCAGCATCGCCTCACAGTTCAAACAAAATCCACCAGATGCGATGCAACCACTTTGTTCCTCCAAAGTCTAAATGATTAAGTCTCCTGCGACACTGCAATTGGCACTCAATCTCCCAATATGTCGCTAGGAAGCGACTCCGTCAACGACCACGATAACTACGGCCAGAATGCACGACTTCTGGACAGGGAACCTTGGCGGGCTTCTTTAGAAGAGCACGATCATCTAATGGAAAAGACACGTCGAGATGAGGGAGATGGAGACCAGCAGCCAAGCTCTTCTATCTCGCCTCCAGCACTGGCGATTTCCAGACGTCGTCGGCTGCTGGCTGTTATGGTAGCCGTCTTGATGGTGTTTGGGCTGTCTGTTTTTGCCTTCCAGCCTCTGAAGCTCTCTTCCTTGGCCTGGCTAGAATGGACAAACCACTGGATAGGCTCGTGCACCACTGCAAACAGACCCGTGACGAACGACGTGAGCTCCGATGTGGGTGATCTCTTCTTGCTAGGAGTTGGCAAGGCTGACATCACCGGCCCCGTCGTCGAGATCAACCTGATGGGATATGCTGATCCCAAGCAAGTAGGTACTGGTCTTCGACAGCGGCTCTATTCGCGCGCATTCATTATCGGTGACGCCGACCCGGAGCGTGCGGCCGACCGATTTGTCTACCTGGTTCTTGATACACAGTCGGGCGACACTGCTGTCCGCTACGGCATTATCGACAGCCTTCGCAAGATCGGCCCCGAGTATGCTGCGCTCTATGGCCACCACAATATCGCCGTTACAGGCACGCACTCACACTCGGGCCCCGGTGGATGGCTTAACTACCTGCTGCCACAGATTACCAGCAAGGGCTTTGACCGCCAGGGCTTCGATGCCATTGTCGACGGGGCCACGCGGTCGATCCAACGTGCCCACGAGGGCCTCCAACCGGGGTATCTGAGTACATCCTCGGCCAGGGTCAAGGATGGCAATATCAACCGCAGTCACTTTGCCTACATGTCCAACCCAGAAGACGAGCGTGCGCGGTACAACAAATCCGGTACTGCGGACAAAGATGACGGATCCGTTGACAAGAATTTGACACTGGTCCGCTTCCAGCGTGCGTGGGACAGAAAGGATATTGGCGTGCTGACTTGGTTCCCAACACACGGCACGTCCATGCTGGGCAACAACACTCTCATCTCCGGTGACAACAAGGGCGTTGCTGCCTACTTGTTTGAGAATGGCGTGCGCGATGGCGGCAAGACTGCAAATGACCATCAATTCGTCGCCGGCTTTTCTCAGGCCAATGTCGGCGACACAAGTCCCAACGTCCTGGGCGCCTGGTGCGAAGACGACTCCGGTTTGCCATGTAGCTACGAAAACAGCACCTGCAGCGACGGCAAAGCCCAGACCTGCCATGCCCGCGGCCCCTTCTTCCGCGAGGATAACACAGGTACTGCCTCGTGTTTCGAAATCGGCCGCCGCCAGTTTGAGGCGGCCTGGACGGCATACCAGTCTTCCACAGCGCAGCCTATTCGCGGGCCTTGGGTCAAGTCGTTCCATACCTTCCACAACATGGCCGACTTCACTTTCACGCTACCCAACGGTACAACTGCACAGACGTGTCCCGCGGCACTTGGTTACTCCTTTGCGGCGGGCACTTCTGACGGTCCTGGCGCCGTGAACTTTACCCAGCACGACTCAGACCCTTCAAACACGTCGCCGATCTGGCGTGCCGTCTCGCGCTTTCTCAAGAACCCGTCAGAAGAACAAAGAGCGTGCCACGGCGCCAAACCAATTTTATTGGACGTTGGTGAGCTTAGCAGGCCTTATCAATGGACGCCCAATGTGGTTGATATTCAAGTATTGCGTGCCGGCAACCTTGTCATCGTGGTTAGCCCTGGCGAGGCAACAACCATGGCCGGCCGACGCTGGAAAGATGCCGTCGCTGCTGCGTACCCTACACTGGACGATGGCCCTTCTAGAGGCCAAGCAGCTGTGGCGTCTACCTCCCCGGTCGTGGTCTTGGGTGGTCCTGCCAACAGCTATACACACTATATCACAACCGAAGAAGAATATGCCGTCCAACGATATGAAGGCGCTTCGACGCTCTATGGTCCTCATACGCTGGCTGCTTACATCAACGTGACGCTCGAACACCTCTCCTATCTGGCGGCCTCGATACGACCCGGGGATCTGCCACCACTCGACGACGACCTTGGTGCGTTTCCGCCCGACAACAGCAACCGTTCACTATCATTTATCACCGGTGTGATTCGGGACGGGCCGTCGCTATTCAAGAAGTTTGGCGACGTCACAAAGGATGTCGATGCAACCTACCGCCGGGGTTCCTGGGTCGCCGCAACATTTGTTGGCGCCAACCCGCGGAACAACCTGCGGCTGGAGCAAACATTTGCAGCCGTCGAGAGGCAACTCGAAGCCGGAGGTGCCTGGATCACTGTGCGGGACGACCGGGACTGGTCGCTGGTCTACCGCTGGCGGCGTATTAGCGAACCGATGGCTACAAGCGAGGTCGAACTAGTCTGGGAGACGGAGGACTGGGCCACTCCTGGCACCTACCGTCTCCACTACTACGGCGACTCGAAGTCGCTCGGTGGTACTGTGACACCGTTTGAGGGCGTGTCTGGGTCGTTTGTACTGGAGTAAATATTGGTTCCTGGTTGTCTTGTTTATGTTGTGATAAGTTATCATGGATATCGTGCTCATCTTAAGGTTGGTTTATTATTATCTTTTTTTATTTGACTTTTGTGTTTTATTCTCGTCTTCAAGCCCATCTTGCTTTAAAAATTGCCCATATTTTTCTGTTTTTCTTTCTGTTTTTCTTTTCTTTTCATTTTTTATTATTATTAATGTTTTATCCCTTGTATTTTTCGTACAATTTTAATTTTTCGGTACATCACTTTTCAGTGTAAGATATTTTTTCAATTTATGTAGTTGTACGACATAGAGCCTGTTGAAATGTCATGTCTGATAACAGGCTATACAGTGCGAAATATTGAATATGGCCAAGGATAGTACATGAACACAGTGTATATACACTGTAACTGGCGCCGATAGGACATGTGGGCTGGCGAGGAAAGCCAGATCTACAACGAATGTAGACCTCCTGAATGCCACGAAAAATAGCTACTAGCATCACCTCACTCGACGACGATACCCGCACGACAATTTTCCCATCGAACCCCCGCGCCTGCCGACCGAAGGTCCCTAACCGAATCCTCTAAAGTCGCAATAGAACACATATCTCACTGAAATGGATCCCTACTCGGCGGAGGGTGAGCTGATCAACATCCACAACCACTTCCATCAGGGCCAGTTCCAGGAGGTGGCCGACTACAGCACCGAGTCATTGTCTCCCGAGAATGAGTTGGCTGCACGTGTTCTGCAGCTGCGGGCACGCGTAGAGCTGGGTGAGGCCAAGGCTGTGCTCGCTGATGTGAAGAATGCGTCTGAACCGGCCCTGCAGGCCGTCGGCGCACTGGCCGAGCAGCGGTCAGGCCGCTCCGACGGGGCTGTTGCCACAATCACCAAGCTGGCCGAGACAGCCGGCGACGACTCTACAGTCCAGATTGTCGGCGGCACTGTACTTCAGGCGGCTGGCAAGTCCGAAGAAGCCCTTGCCCTTCTCTCCCAGCACGACAGCAACCGTACGTATTCTTTCTTTTCGCTAATGGCAAGCCCTCATTGTACCCGCCGATCTAACCACCGACTAACGTCATGCATTAATAGTCGACGCTGTCGCATTGATTGTGCAGATTCATCTGCAGCAGAACCGCAACGACCTGGCCCTCAAAGAAGTCGTCGCTGCCCGGAGGTGGGCGCAGGACTCGCTGCTCGTCAACCTTGCTGAGTCATGGGTCGGCCTGCGCCTCGGCGGCGAACGTTACCAGCAGGCCTTTTACGTCTTCGAAGAACTGGCCCAGGCACCGGCCTCGTCGTCGGCCCGTACACTCGTGGCCCAGGCCGTGTCTGAACTGCACCTTGGCCGCACAGAGGAGGCACAGGCTGCACTGGAGCAGGCGGTGAAGGCCGCCCCTGAATCCGCCGATGCCGTTGCTAACCTTCTTGTTCTCGCTGTCTTGACTGGCAAGGACACGGCCGAGACGACCAGCAACCTCCGGAACATCAACGCGCAGCATCCACTGCTGGCCGACCTGGAGCAGAAAAGCAGTCTGTTCGACAAGGCCGCGATGAAGTACCAGGCCAAGGTGTCCGCATAAGATCAGTGGGCTTTGAAGATGCAGGAATACGCAAACTGGTTACACGAAAGCAACTTAGACGGTAATGATAGAGGACCATAGGCGAACGAGCAACATCGTGGATAAACACCAAACGAGGGACTGTGCAACGGCGGCAACACACGGACGGATGTTAAGGAAATACCACAGAAGACAAGTGGCCACGGAGAGGGTAGCAAATGAAGAAACGTTATCAACGTGAACACGACTTGAGAGGTTCACGCGTCTAATTTTATTTTGCTATCGAAACAGCATATCCATACCTTTGAACGAAAGACAGCTTTCCTTCTCCAGGCAGTAGTGCACCATTCATCTTTCTGTCCATGGCCATGCATCTTACT